CCCCTCATCTCTCACCCTCTCACTCTCACCCCCTCATCTCTCACCCTCTCATCTCTCACTCTCACCCCCTCATCTCTCACCCTCTCATCTCTCACTCTCACCCCCTCTTCTCTCACCCTCTCATCACATATCTCAGTTTAATTTCTTATAATAATTTATTGTCATTATACAACAAGTGTGTGTGTGTTAGTGTGAGTGTATGTTTATGTGTGTGTGTATGTGTGTCTGTGTGTGTTAGTGTGTATGTATATACTGTATGTGTGTGTGTGTGTGTGTATGTATATATGTGTGTGTGTGTGTGTTAGTGTGTATCTATATATGTGTGTGTGATGACATTACATCATCAATAATTATGATCATTATATTAATTATTAGAATTAGTCACATGACCCTGATCTTTGGATCCATCCTCAGTCCCAGTTGCCATGGTCACAGGACTCCCAAAGCAGTGTGGGTAATAGAGGCCAATGTGAGGGACACAGGAGTGGGCAGGGTGACAGGTGACCATGCCACGCCCCCCCCACCATGCCCAGGTAAGCTTTGGCTGCACCCCCAGCTTGTCCTTCCATTCTTGTCCTGTTCAGCAGTGAATCATGGGTAGTGTAGTCCACAGTTATGGCAGCATTCTTCAGCTAGGACTTTTGGGTAATGTAGTCCAATGTGCTGTCGATATTTGTAGACGTCACTGCAGCTGGGAACATGGGAAATGTAGTCCTCGGCCTTAAAAAAGTGTTTGATCTACTTCCTGTCCGCGCTTTCCACTGCAACAGAGGGGGTGATGGGTGTGTGGTGGGGGAGGACTGTGGGTGTTGTAGTCCAGTGGTTGTTTGATAAGCCCTGAATAGACTGTGTGTTTGAGCCCCATGGTTTTATGTACAGTCACACAAGTCTTTATGTACACAACACAAACACACACACGCACACACACACGCTCACCATGTTCACATCACATGAATCAATCAATCGATCAATAAATAGATAAATAAATGAATAGTATAATATAAATACTTCAATACCAACTGAACTCTAATGTGTCTGATTCATTATTTACTGATAATACACGAGTCCATCACTCGTCTGCATCTTCTCCTCACACACACACACACACACACACACACACACACACACACACACACACACGTAGAGAGACAGACGGTACGTCCTCTCTCCCTCGGTTGCCACGGCGGCAGCAGTCACCCAATCAGCTCCCCTGTCATCCTCTCGTGACTGTAAGTAACTAAAATGGTGAAAAGACCAAAGTCTGCTCTCCATCAGGCCACGCCTCTGAGGAGGAGGTGCTGTGGGAGGCCTGGCGGGGAGCCGTTTCCATGGTGAAGGTGCCAATCAGAGTCTGTCGCGGGCAGGGACCCAGATGTAGGGGCCGCTCTGCTCCTCAATGACGGCTTTGACCAGGTGGTAGACCTCCTCGAAGCTGTCGCCGTGCACAATGGCTGCGTGCACACACACACACACACACACACACACACACACACACAC